CATCCTATACCTTGCCGTGATATAGGACCTTACTTTTGCTTAGTGGATCCACTAGCCTAATCTTACGTGATCATCTAAAAAGAATGATACGTCAAGTCCCATGTTGGCGCATGGTTCTTATGGAGAGTTGAGTTAATATGAACTCGTGTCCCCAATTCGGTGCTCAATACTACTCCCAAAAATACTTTGGCTCATGCTTTTAAAATAACTTCTTTCTTTAGTTTGAGATAATTACTCAAAGCTTAGCCCAACGGCTCTTTTGGAAGACATGATTTCCTTTCTTACTTAAATGTAAAAACATTTAGAAACTTCTTTGGGAAGTACATAGTTCCCTATTAATTTTGGAGAAATGGACTCGACTCATTACTCATTACTTTACTTGAACTCTTTACTTTTGACTTGACTTGAAACTCTTAACTTAACTTAAGACTTGATACTCTTAACTCGACTTGAGACTTGAAACGACGTTAAGACGTTCAATAACGACTCTTGAAAAGCTTTAACGACTTGCCTTGACTTGCTTAACTTCTAAGCTTGGCGCTAACATCACTTGACTTGGAATCTAATTTTCTTGAATTGAATTATGGATTCAAGGACTTGATTGGTGTTTGGAAGGGTCTCATGATGTTTAGGAATGATTTAGGAATGATTTGGGACAGCCAAACTTGAGAAAATCTTTGAACATAATTTCTGAAAACAGTGGAGTCCGCGTCCTGTCCGCGGCGCGGAGAAGATTTTTGTTCTCAGAGGGAACAAGTCCGCGACGCGGACGTGCTCCTCGCAAGCTGCCCGACTTTCTCCTTCACGTATCCAACTCTAAATCCTCTAACCTCAAAGGTTCCAGCCCCAATTCACTTAGAAACATGAAATCCCTCAATATTCAATAGAATACAACTCCAAAAACACAACCCAATCATGTCCCACAACCAACAATAATTCCAACAACAACAACTAACAACTTTAACCCCAACAATTAACAACTTTAACAACATAACCAAACCTTTCTTAATGAATAAAAGGGGCTAGGTGTGTGGGGGAAAGGATCACCCAACACTAAAAGCTCACATACCTTGGTAGGGATCACCCCCGACGAAATTCCACGATGATCTTGACGGAACTTGCTTGATCTTCCTCTTTCCTCCCTTCTTCTTCTCCTTCTCCTTCTTCTCTTCTTCCTCTCTTCTTCACTCTCAAAGCCCTAGCCTTCACTCTCTTAAAATGGATAAATGATCCAAATATCAGCCTAACACAACAATATATCTTCAAAAGAAATAACTAGGGAAAAGACCAAAATGCCCTTAAAAATTCCCCGACGGAATTCCTTGTCAATTGCCCAACTTTCAAAGGGCATATCTCACTCATACGAACTCGGAATCGAGCAAACTCAGTGGCGTTGGAAAGATCGTTCCACGAAATTTGCAACCATAACTGGAATTCCACCTAACTCATCCTGAGCTAGAATTTATGGTTGTTCAAAGTTGGCCAAAAATTCACATTTTCCATACTTAGCCAAAATTTCCAAAACTTTAAAATTCTTTCCAAAAATGAAAATTTCCAATTCTAAGCCTCTTCAATTATTTCATATTGCCGGATGTTACAGGTATAGTTCCAACTTCTTGTGCTAGTGCATTTTGTATGTATTGAACGAGACCGAGTAGAGATAGTTGTTTTAGACTGACTGACAAAACATATTCTCTAAACTATTAAATGTACTTATATTCTTAATCCTGATATAACTATTATGATCTATATATATTAATTATCGTTTTGATTTATTAAAAATTGAGATTCTGAGATGGGTCAATATGTTTGGTAAGTTGGATGATAATAATATATATTGGTGAAATAATAAGTTAGTTGATGGAATCCATGTCTCATTATAGAGATTGATTGATATGCCTTTTTGAGAAACTTATAAGTTTTCATCGTGTCAAACCTTGTAAGTGGATTTATGAATCCGACACATGAAATAAGTTAAGTAGTGCTCTAAAGGAATTAATCATTAAGTTAAATTTGTTAGTAATTTAATTTATTGATTAGTATCTGAAATCTTAACATGGGGAATTACATAGAGTTTAATGGGGAATTATGAAATATAAATAGAGGAGTGCAATTACGAATTTCTAGTGGAATGATTTGTAATTTATTATGGTAAGAATAATTCAAATTAATTATTTGGAATTATTTCCATAATAGGAAGCCTCAATAATTAATTGTGTGGTCCCTCTAGTGCCCATATTTAACTAGAACTCAGAATCCTATTTCTTAGGGGGAAAAGGAGTAGGCGTGTGTTTTCTTGTTTTCAAGAAAACTAGGTTTTCTTCTCCTTTTTGGATTGGGGAAGAAATCTCTATAAATAGAGGTTCTCCTAACCTAGAAAAAGATTGATTAGTTTTCTATTCAATACTTGCCCACCCAAGTATTGAGAGAGTTCGGATGTGAACTTGGGATCACTGTAGAAGACCATAGCTATTGTCTATCTCGTAGATTTGCTTGAAGGTCTGTCTATCTTTAGAGATTCGCTTGGAGGTATCTGCTCACGCTTCAAAAGGTATTTATCGAATTAAATTTCAGCAAGTCTATGTGTTCTAACATGATTATGGTTCTAGCATAAACAATATTGGTTATCTATTATTCATGTAAGCCATAAGATTCAAGTATGTTTCCGCTGTGCATATTTATTTTTCAACAGTTGGCTAGTGTTAGCCTGAATTGTGTTGTGGGCCTATAGTTAGCCTTTGAAGTCTATGTCACATAGAGTTGGTGGACAGTAAAGTTATCGCTTAGTTGTCCTCGTAATAGAGTATTAATTAAAAGAGAGAGGGATTAAGAGTTTAATTCCTAGATTGCATGAGTTTGTAATATGAATCTTGGCTCATGTTTAGTGAAGACGATGTTGGTAAAATTCTACGTGGTTAGTCATGTTTTTTTCCTTCCTTGAGCAAGAAGATTTTCACGTAAATATTTACTTCTTGTTGTGTAGTTTGCTCTATCTTTGTTCTTAGTTGTTCTCAATCAAGGACCTGTTCTCTTGACTCCCGGTGGATTCATATGAGTATATAGAAGATCAAATTCCTCAATTTAAAATGGCAAAAGAGTCGAGACAATTGAAGCACTCAAAAATTGTTCTTAAATGTGACAACTTATATGCTTCATGGTTTTGTTAGTTGAGGAAGCTTCATAGAAAATTTGTCGCTAGTACTATTAAGATGATCTTACCTAGTTATAACATGACATATTTCTCTTATATGAAACTAAGATGTTATTGAATAATTATAATACAGTTGACATTCACTAATACTACATTGAGCTTTGTTACAGTAGGCCTGGACACCAAATAGCTTCATCCAACACACTTAACAAAGTGATTTCTCTTCAAGAAGCTGATGCCTAGGGCATTAACTGTGAAGTTGAATGAATTAGCATCCCAACAATGAAGATACGCAGAGAGAATTAGAAGAGATAAGAAGAGAGAAGATATTTTCATTAATATTTCAACCGAATACAATGAGTTGTCCTTTTTATAGACACACATTCCTAACTAACTTTCTAACAAACTAATTCTGACTAATTAGCTTAATTTGTAATTACCATTAACTAACTTCTAACTAACTAGTTAATGTGTAGACTAAGGCACATTGATGCATTTACCAATCTCCTTTACACTCCCCCTCAAGCTTGAAGCTATGAAGACATTCTTCATTCCCAGCTTGGACATCAAATAAGAATGTGAGGCTCTCCCAAGACCTTTAGTGAACAAGTCTGCAGGCTGCTCAGATGAAGGCAAATGGGCAGTGACAATCAACCCTTCTTGAATTTTTTTCTCTAGTAAAATGACAATCTATATCTATGTGCTTTGTCCTTTCATGAAACACAGGATTAACAGCTATTTGCAAAGCTGATTTGCTGTCAGAAAACAAAGTGACAGGAACTTTGACATTTACTCCAAGCTCCTTGAACAATCCTGTCATCCAAATTACTTCTGCAACTGACGATGTCATGGCTTTGTATTCTGCCTCTGTTGAACTCCTAGAGATTGTGGCCTGCTTCTTAGACTTCCAAGAAATAGAAGAATTGCCGTAGTGTACCAGATAACCAGTAATAGACCTTCTGCTATTAATACAAGCACCCCAATCAGCATCACAATACACCTTTAGAAGATCATCACCAGTGGAAGACATCATTATTCATCATTATTCCCAACCCTGGTGCATGCTTCACATATCTAACTAGTCTCATGGCTACTTCCATATGAGACCTTTTGGGGGAATGCATAAATTAACTCAAACTTTGCACAGCAAAAGCAATGTCTGGTCTGATCTTGTAGTTGTGAGATACAGAAGCGTCCCAATAAGTTTATGATATCCAGTAGGATCTTCTAACACCAAGTCCTCAGAATTTGATGACACCATAGGAATTGTGATAGTTTTAGCACCTGCAAGTCTCATGTCTGCAATTAACTCTAAAGCATATTTTCTCTGATGCATCAATATCCCCCTATTACTTCTTGCAAACTCAATACCCAAGAAGTACTTAAGTTCTCCGAAGTCCTTGATCTTGAAAGTTGTGTGTAGTGTTTCTTTGGTGTGTTGAATCATAGAGTGATCATTTCCTATAAGTATCAAGTCATCCACATAGACCATGACTATTACAATCTTGTTACCGCATCCATCTTAGTGAACAAAGAGTAGTCATTTGTGCTTTGACGAAAACTAGCTGAAATTAAGGCTTTAGTGAGTTTTATGTTCCATTGTCTAGAGGCTTGCTTAAGCCCATGCAAGGACTTTAAAATCCTACACACTTTCCCATCAGTCCTCTTTTGTCTTGAAAAACCTTCTGGAATGGTCATACATACTTCTTCATATAGATCCCCTTGTAATAATGCATTATACATGTCGTGCCGTAATTTTCCTAGCCTTTAGAAAAATCACTTTTTTGAAATGTTCTAAGTATAAAACAATTAGAGAAAGTACTTAGAAAAGAGTCGCCACTTAATTTTTTAAAGAAATTAAGAAAACTTACAATTTCCAAAGATTTAAACAGAAAAAATCATTTGAAAATACCAAAGAGGGTTCGGGGTTCAATTTACACTTCGAGAAGGGTTTAAGCATTCGAAGTGTCCGCTAACGTGCGGTTGACCTGTGACTTGACTAAAATGTATTTGACTATTTTTTAGAAAAAATAAAGATTTAGCATAAAAATAAAATAAAATAATAACTTACAATATATTTGATTAACTTTGAGAAAAAATTAAATAAAGGACGCATTTTATTTTATTTTTTATTTTTTAGAGAAAGGGACCCAAAAATGAAACATTTGACTCAAAATACAAGTCTTTAGAAATTAATTGGAATTTATTTTATTCATTTTTGAAACAATAATTTAAACCCATTTAAAGCATGAAAATCATTTCTTAATTAATTGACTAACCTTTTTTTTTTTTGAGAAAAGACTAAGTAAGTGTGTATATATATATATATATATATATATTCAATTAATTGAAAAGGGTTTGATTAACTTATTTTTTTTTAGTTTATTTGAGAAAATACTTTAACTTACAACAATTTTAAAATGAATAAAAATGTGATTAAGTGAAGAGGCGTTAAAACATATCTCTTAAGAACAAAATGTTTAACTTAATTAGAAAGTATAATTTGATCCACATATTTGATAAAATAAAAAATATATATTAAAAGTTAACCAACACAAAGAAAATAACTTATCTTTTGGGAGTCAAATTAGGTTAATTAAAAATTATAAAGTTAGAGTTAAACAACAAACAATAAATCATCACAATTAAATAATTAAAGAGTAAGGAAGAAAATGAATTTGGGCCTCCTTTTGGGCCAAATTCGCTGGAATTTTTGGGGGTTTAAATCTGAACCCGTTTTTGTATACAACTTATGTATATTAGTGTATATTAACGTGTATATCAGCCTCTTTCATGTATTTCTTGCTTCCAAACACATGTATTTCGCCTCATCCCTGTGTTCCTGCGTTTTTGACCTGTATATCTCTATATAATGATGTATACTGCTGTATACAATATATATACAGCCTATTTCTGGCTTTTCGAGACCTATGTTTCAGCTTCCTTAGCCTGTAAGTTAGCTTCTCTTCCCTTGTATTCTAGCTTCCCATCAATTTGAGCAATAACGACGACCGACTCGATAAAATAGGAGTGTTGGGTTTCAACCCAACTCGAGGTGCAAGGAATGAAGGAGAGGGTCCAATGGATCCAAATTGAGGAAGGTCATGCACAAAATAAGAAATGATAAGAATTAGTAACTAATCAAAATTGAACACTCACTAAAGTAGCTATGTATGTAAAATAGTAATAAGATAAATTTCCTCACAATAGCATGACCAACATTAACAACTCTTAGATGGATAGATATGCAAAGAATCAAGAATTAAGGAAGTGAAACTAGCAAAGCTTCACAGTAACTTTGATGCACACTGGGATTGAAGAAGTTAAAGACACCAAACCAAACTTCATGTGGCTTTCCAAAGGAAACAACCGAATGACAAATCTCAAAGAGTACATTGATGATTTCAAACCCGTGCTTATTAAAATTACCTTATTTCAACACGACTGTCAATATTCGATCTTAATTCACAAATAAACTAACATCATGTAATTTTCGACTCTAAATCATGTTGAAATCCCGTTCACGAGTCAAAACATAAATCTAACATATATGACTCCCAACATGACAAAATACAAGTTCATGAAAAGAGTAAAGTAATCCAACAACAAACAAAGGGACAAGAGTTGCCTGGGAACATAAAAGAAAAATGCAACAAAAATATAATAATAAAATAAGATGGCATGAATTGAAAAGAAGCTTCAATAATGAAGGAGACAATTGGATTTGTACCAATATCCTGTATTAAGCAAAGAAGGACAAATAACTACCCATATCAAGACAAGTATTAAGATTTTTGGGGAAAAAGACCACAATAGCTTTACACTTATATATATACACATACACACCAACTACAATATAAAAACAAGATAAAATAATTTTTGGCTAATGTTAGCACACGAGTCACATTTGCACACCAATGATTTAACAAATCATAGTAATTCAATTCAACGAGCTTACACTAAATTTATAGCACACCATATCTTATCAACAAGAGGAGTAACATTTACCTAAATTCGAATGCTAAAACGACAACTAGGTATCACCATTATGGGAGCCAAAAGCGAACAACAACAACATGATCAAAATTCAAAAAAAATTCAAACAATGCGAACACGAGATGAAGAGGAATTTAACAAAAAGTAAGAATGATATTACCTTTTTCTGGGCAGCGAACTGAGACAACGAGTTTAACCACGAAGAACTACCACCACTGTGAGCCTGCTTCGATGGGTTCCGAAAAATAAAATAAACTTTGAATTCTAATAAAGGAGACTCAAACTCTCTGTTCTTTTTTTTTTTTTTTACTCTTTCCGGTTGGTTTTTTTTTTTTTATCAATTTTCCTCTATTTCTCCCTCTTTTTTAGTGATCAAAAGAGATGAATATATAGATGGAAATTAGGGGGAGATCGGGTGAAATTTCTCATTTCAAATTCAAATTTCTTGCTCCTTTTCAAGGCCAATAGGGAGCAACTGAGTTTGGTATGAAATTTCTCCAAAATCCTAGAAAATCCAAGGCAGCAGGGCTGCTGCGTACAACTGCTGTTGACATTTTGAACTGCTGCTGCTATTGTTGAAATTATAAGGGAAAAAGGGGTGGGGCCGGCTGGTTGCTGGATTGCAGGCGAGGAGGACGACTTTTCTCCAAATTTGCCGGACTGATGCGACTGATTGCTGCTATTGTTGAAATTAGAAGGGAAAGAGGGGGTGGGGCCGGTTTGGTGCATGTTGTTGTATTATTATATGTTGGGTTTCTCTTGAATTGGAAAATAAGTGGGCAGGTGGGGTCGGTTTGGTACATGTATTGTATTGTATTGTTAATGTTGGGTGCTTTTTGAATTAGGAAATAGGTGGGCCAGGGTTTTTTGGAAGGGGATTAGGAAAAACTTAGCCAATTTGATTTAGTTAAAATAGGCTTAGCTAGTAATTAAATAAGACAAATTGATATTAATTAATTAACGAGCTTCTTAATCTTAATAAAATAAAATAATTAACTTAATTATAAACGACTAAATAACCAAATAAAATAAAGCTAAAATCCTTTTGAGACAATTTTCGAACATTCATAAAATATACTAATTAGACACATAATTCTATAAAATATCACATTTATTATTTTAAAATTTATAAAAATGACAAAACTACTTAAAATGACTTGAAAATTATTTTGAATTTTATAAAGCCAATTATTTCAAACCATTTGGAATTTAGGAAGCTCGATGATTAATTTATATTGTGGAGGTCCAAAATTGGATGTCAACAACTGTCTCTCGTTTAACTTGGATTGATGAAAGAAATCCGAGGAAAATGAAATTGACGAATCCAAATTTGACCGACCACATCTTCATCTTTCAGAAAGAGGGATTTGGTAGGGACTTTAGGAATTACGGCCGAACCACGGAAATGGGTTTCCTACATGTCTCATGCTATATGAGAATTCAGGCCATTTGTAGTTCGGTACGCTCGATTGAAAAGGAAATTTATTATGCAAGATAACCTTTTATTCTGGAAAAGCGACAAAGTAAGTCGAGTTATGAAAAAGAGGCTTGCAACTTCTTAGCCATGAATGTGGAGCTCTTCACATCCATAAGTAAGAACTTACGTGGACATAATTTCCAAAGTTCTTGGTACATTGTCACTCAGATTGGAAATTTGCTTCTGGTAAAGACCAAAAAAATTTCGGATGCGAAACTAAAACTGACAAACCCAAAGATAAACCCACATGCCTTCTGATAGGGGTGTGGTTTGATTGTGGTGGAAGTCGCTCCTCTGCTCGCGTCCTAAGAGTTTGGCACTCCTCTTTGGACTATGTCCCAGTTCGCTGCTAAGAAAAAGTTCCACGTTGTGCTACATCCTCTTTGATGTCGTCCGCACCTGTGTTTGTTTTGGAGAATTCATCCTTTCGAATGTTCTCAACAAAGACTGAGATAAAACTCATTAGCATAAAAATGTAATTCAAAAGGGAGACAGTGTCTTTTACCGTGTTGACACTTAATTGTTCTCTTTGGACATTTGACGTCAGCTTCCTCTATTCTGACGTAAAGCAAATAAAGCTCGTATTTTGTATTTGTAATATAATCTTCAATGTATTCTTCTTTTGATGATGAAGTAATAAAATAAGCAGATGTAATATGTTGATAGTTCTCTTTATGTCGTCTTTGCAATTTGATTATGAATGACCATCTTGACGGTTTGAATATGCAATGGCCCTCTTGGCAGTTTGAATATAAATGCCCCTCTTGGCATTTTGATATGCAATGACCCTTTTGTCAATTTAAATATGAATGGCCCTCTCGGCAATTTGAATATGCAATGGCCCTCTAGGCAGTTTGAATATGCAATGGCCCTCTTGGCAGCTTGAATATGCAATGGCCCTCTCGGCGATTTTGAATATAAATGCCCTCTTGGCATTTTGATATGCAATGGCCTTCTTGGCATTTTGAATATGATGGCCCTTTTGGCAATTTGATTATGAATGGCCCTCTTGGCAATTT